ACAATGAAATCAGAGATGAATTGATATTTACAGAAGAAACAGTTAAGATTGAGATAATTGATTGTTATTTTACATATTAACTATTTATTGTATGGTTCTCAGATTTTAGTCAGATAGTCTGTAATTTATATGTTAAATACGTTTCATTGTTCCAAGTCGTATTCTCGTTCACTACACTATGAATTTTCGAAATTATGTTCTTAGTAAAACTATTAGATTATTTAAAGAGTATTGTCTCCTAGCAATTCTAGCTTGCTTTGCTATATAAACGAGTAGAGTATTACACTGAAATATTCTATAACTCTTAAAGATTTACTGACATACGATAAAGCTAACTTCTATATATGGTTATTTTTTGTTTTATGATGAAAGTTAGTAACTAGGATAAAACACGTTGGTTAACAACAGACTAAACTATAACATTATAATGTAGTTGTTTGATGACCTATAAAGTTTATATAATACCATTAACAACTAAATGCCATAACAACTTTTTATTTGTCATTAAAATATTATCTGATTGACATTTAGTTAACATAAACTGAAGATCAACTGATCTAATGATAAACTTTAACTACATAATATACATTGATTTTCTTTATTATTCAATTTTGTTTCTATACAATGTATATAAAAGATGATGCACTGAGTTACTTCTAATTATTTAAACTCATAATAAATGTATTATAGTTGAAATCATGAGTTAATTGAAGCTAGATCACCATGGAAAATATGGAAGTACTGGACTGCCGTTTCTTCCTATTGTGAGACTTCTCAGTACTCCGCATCCACATTCCTGCCTCGAAAGATTCGAACCCAGGACTTATCAGTCTCGCGCCAGAGCACTTAACCGATAGGTCACTGAGCCGGTATCCAACGGTGTTAATATCTAACTTCAACCAATCCACGAAATTGAGTAATCGTTCACCAATGTCATCAATGAGTCGGATACCGGCTCAGTGGTTTATCGGTTAAGTTCTCTGGCATTAATGATTTATCAATGATTTGGAAATCTTTCCATGTACGATAAAATATGCAGTGAAATCAATGACTTCGTTTTTTTGTATATCACTAGAGAATAACTTAATGAGTTGATACATTCACTGATATTCATAGAACTTATTCAGATACCTTACATATTAATAAGTCTTCAATGATGATAAATCTTATTTGTACAATGTCTTCGGGCTACAAATCTTTAATTTCCATACAAAAATCTGCTAATGATTACTTGGTGATTAAATAGCTTGAGAAAAAAAATGTAATTAACATAGATATAGTTAGTTTTCATCATTTCCGGAAATAAGCGATCGAATAAATGACTTTTCATTTGACGTCAGTATCAAAATCATATAAATCATGCGCCAATACATAGTTATTCATATTTGTTGATGGATATAAAGCGTAGAAGACGAAGGTATATACTGTTCCCTAACTATAAAATTACAATTATGTTACTTTGAATATTCTTAATAATGATTTCAATTCCTTTTGAAACATTTGATATGAAGAATAATAAATAGGTAGACTCAAATAATTGTATTTGGAATGATTTCAGTATATACCTTGTTGTGAAGTAATTTATTCAAGAAAGGAATCAATTTCAGTGAAGTGATAATACACTTAGTCTGCCTACCTAAACGAATATTGATATGCCGAATTAGATATTTTTTTCATGGAGTGTTTTTCTCAGAGCTAGATGATTTGGTTGTGAAGCTACAGGACAAGCTGTGGGCAATATGTAATGAAATTCGAACACTTCACTTCTACTTGAAGTTTGTGCTGATGATGGCGTTCAGAATAACGACGAAAGCTCCATCATCAAACCATCGAACTCAGAGAACAAAATTTTACGAAAATCATCCACCTGAGCTACAAATCTTCTCCAACATCTAGAATTCATATTGTGAAGAGTAAATTAAACACTGCTAGAACTATCAATACAGGGTTGTGGAGATTGTTAAGTTTTTTATTGAGATCATTAGTCGATGAACGTAATCGGTGGCTAATCCGCGTCAAGTAAAAAGAAGTATCTACTTGATACAATGGCAGATGGTTACGCAATTTTGTGGATTGATTGTAGTCAGACAATAACATCGTCGGATGTCAACTTACATGTCTATAGGTTAAGCATCCACGCGCGAAACCAAAGGTCCTGGGTTCAAATCCTACGTGAGAGATCGTGTATATGCATTGCTGAGGAGTCCCATACTAGAACAAAACTGCCTTCCAGAACTATTGACACCCAACTTAACATGCCCTAAAGGTAAACTAATTTTCATCCCAAAGATGAATGTTATAATTATAAAAAAGGTAATTGTAGTGAAAATTACGTTTGATTACATAATTATTATTATCACGGGAATTTAAAAAAGATACCTAACAATAGGAAGAAATATTTTAAACATTACTTTAATTAGAACTTCATATTATTTACAATTTAATAGTCACAATTGATTGATCACTGGGTGGTGATCAATCTCATGCGTGTCAGGTCCTTAGTGCTGATCGAATGCTATCGATCAAGTTGCAATGTGGCCACCAGTCTAGGTGGCTCAACACTGCGTGCACTATATATATTAAGGTAACATGGTGGTTGGAGGTGGTCAACAGGAAATCCTGGACCCGGGTTTCGTGCTACTTGGCACTCGTCAGCAAGGTGTACCTGTAATCTTGAGGGAACTGATGCTCCCTGACGGATTCGATCCCGTGTCACTCAGCTTCACAGTCAGAGACGTTACCACTGAGCTATTCGGGCCGCGACCAACCTCCTGTAGGACTGAGATGTAATCACAATTGATTGATCACTGTGTGGGAGCATCAGTTCCTTCAAGATTACAGGTACACCTTGCTGACGAGTGCCAAGTAGCACGAAACCCGGGTCCAGGGTTTCCTGTTGACCACCTTCAACCACCATGTTACCTTAACATTTTAATAGTGTTATGCATATTCAACAATATAATGTATAACGAAAGTATAGAATTTGTCCGCATCTATACATAGATGTAAACATAGTAGTTTAAGGTTAGTTCATTTAATCAAGATTCTGAAATTTTGACTGGTTAATAGATGTTTTTAAGATAGAATCATCATAATGAAATATCATCTACTCATAGGTTAATGTATTAAATGTTTCTTTTCATATCTACATACGCTTATACAACAAATAAGTTTACATATGAACGTAGATATAGATTTATCCAGACAGTATCTAAATTAAAAAATTTCCTCTTAAAACCACAATTAAAAACTATGGTCATTACTGATACTAACTACTGGGTTCTTGTCGCATACTGAACAATTATCTATTATTAATGGTCAGACACTTAATTCTTCCAAATTCCTAACTATTAGTTTTAATCTAAGACATGGAAAAAACTAAGACACCTTGTTGAAACCCCCAAAATGTCTTATTATTGGAGATTCAATAATAAAAAACAATGTCTAAAATCATTTATATTGGTGTAGGAATTTAGTAACATATGTGGTGAATCATTCGAGACCATTGAAAATATGGTTATGAACAGGCATTTAAAATCTTACAAACTTTTGACAGATAATGACTTATCAAATACATGCAATCTAATCCTTTGAGGTCTTACAAATTATATAACTTCTAATCATACAACACGTCGATTCATTAGAACCCACAGTTTCAAGCAGAAGTATCAAACCTGTACAATACCGAATCTATTAGATATACTATATGATGAATAGGTAGTTCAAGTTGAACTAGTTGATAAACTTATATTCTTAAACATGTTTGCTAATCAGAAGTTCTATAGATTCTAATCTTATTAAAAAAAACATTCTATTTAATTCACAAATGTCCTTGTGTAGCCAAGAATGAGGAGAGTCCACTCTCACTCTCGAAATGCTCTCATATGGCCACGCGTATATAGCATCTGCCAGGGAAGTCCTAATCACTGCCTTCTTGTGGCGCGGATGTTTACGAATTTGAGAGGACGAAAGCGACTGTCACGCGCTTTAAACGGGTTGGTGGACACGGAAAGTCCACACAGGGGAGTTGGAAAACTATGATTCCAAACCAATGGTGCACATACGCTACAGTATCCTGATGTAACAAATGAAGTATGTATTAATCCTTGGTCACCGGCTACCATTAGACTGCATCTCCTCACGATGTTCCACTACCTTGTGGATCAGATCTTTAGGTCATAGGCTCGAGGTATAACCCCTTAAGAAAACCACTTGTTTCGATCTGGGAACCCGTACAGTATCACAGCCCTCATGCCAATCAAGTGAGATTTGCGTGGCGCATATATATCTGGTGCTCCTTTGTACCAATATTTGTGTGTTTAAATAAAATAAGTTTATTTACCTAATTCACGAATACATGTATATGGTTAATGGTTATTAATGTTCTGTAATAGAAACTTGTTAGAATATTGTATGCTGAAAATTTCATATTGTAATAAATATATAATATTACAATCAAGCCTTTCACCATAATAGTAATAATATATATATCCCTTTTTATAAAAAACAAAACAGTATTCTATCTTAAATTCACTTAGTATTGTTTGTTTGAATCTTCCCATTGATGTTTAGGACTGCAATTAATCAATCTGTTATTGGTATATGTGCATACTGTGCATATTGCTTCGATATAGCCTTAATTCACAAGTATTATAAGCAAAGATGGATGCAGTTACATCCAACTGACGAGTGTCACATAAGAGAAAACGCGCATCCTGGATTCCACTGCTAACCACTATCCATCTTTACTTATAATACTATTCTATTTTACTGAAGAAAAAAGGGATCAAGCATTTTTATCAAGTATACGTTTGGTTTGTAATAACTATTTTGATGAATAATTTCAGGTTTTATGCTTGAATAATCTTGCTTTGTATTACAGTTATTATTCTCCTTCATAAGTGAATAAAAAAGGGTAGTTACGTGACTTAATCTACTAATCATTATCATGAAAAGTATTTAAAAATACATGTTGGGATACAAAAAAATAAGTCTCTTAGACATCTATCTTATTGCCTTTTTTATCAGCTATAGTGTCACAATTAAACTTAATATTTATTCCTTACAAAGGCTTATTAAAATTTATAAAAGAATATCAACAATAGAATAATTCAAACTGTTTCTAATAAGGGTATAACGAACATACTCGATGAATGATTTCATGGTTATTTGGGCTTAATAGTTTTGTAGACAATTCATTAGGTGTTTGAACTGGGTAAAAAAAAAATACCGACGGAAATGCTAATTTCGGAACACAGGCACATTTAGCTAACTAGTTTCAAATGGATCAGAAGACAAGTTTTGGATTTTATTGTCAACTACAATACATCTATAACCTTAATTAAGTCAAACATTAGCAGACATAAACTGAACACAAAGGGAATGTCTGATTATAATGAGTAAAATGTCTCCATGTAACCGTTCAATGTAAAGTAGAGTGATATATTATTACAGAATCTGTCATAAGCTTTTTGAAGTTCAAGGAAGCATGATATTGTATACTGAAACGCTTTGAATATTGATAGTGAAGCAATTTAATAATTCTTTCCAGTTTATTCAGAAAACCGTATAAATTTGATGTATGTAATGCTTAATATTGAAGTAAACATTTCAAATTTAATTCGGTTTTCAATGATTTGAATTAGTCCAACGCTAATATATTTTAGCCGTATTTTGATCACTCTTAGTTGGAATATACGCATCATATGTTGATTGTCTATACTTAGTCATTGTGACACAAGTTGATATATAATACATGGGACGTGGTAAGCAATAAAATCATGGGCGCATGTTTTCTCCCACTTCAGACTTGTCAACTAGATGTATCTGAATCCCTGAGTTGACTTCATAAGTAAGTTGCTATCTAGATAGATTACTTTAGATGGCTGTCCAATGCTTACTCATTCCCGATGTTACTTCAATGGAGACTAATATATGACAAATACACTGAGTAAGTATCAAAAAATAATATTGAATATGGACTAATATCAACACACAAAAGACTAGAAATGAAGGAAAGCTGTTTCATATTACTTTCAAAGAATTCATACATTGATGATGAGATTTTATATTTTTAAGAGTTATGCAGAAAATTTCGTTTAAAAAGACTAGTACTTTATTATCAGCCAATTTACTTCCCGAGGCATACTAAGAAACTGTAATTGTACTTGTCTTATGATTTATAAGAACTTCTTTAGGTAATGAATGATTGGATATCAATGAGAATTAGACATATTTATCAACCCGACAATGAATCACTTTACAGTAAGTGTCCTACTTCTTATAATATAAAGGCCTTATGTTTATTATATTACCTTTTGTTTAGTAAATTGGCATCCGTTGTGGTATGTTGAGAATCCTTGATAGGGTTCTTTAAAGGTACTCCAAATCGTGTATTTGGTAAATGTTATGAGATTATTGTTTTATGGAATGACAATTTTCCTATACATATCTAATATTTGCTAAAAGTATGATAGCAAGAATTTAAAAAAACAATAAAAAATCATAACAACTGTATTGGAAAGTTCTAAGTTATAACTTTCTCCAGAAGTCAACTTCTCTAAATGAAAAAAGATAAGATGGTTAATGATAGTTCATGTCGAAATAGAACAAAAACTACATTATTTATGCCGTTGTATATACTATGGAATAAATAAGTCTTTAACTTATGTATTTCATATGTGTATTTAGTGTATACCTTCAGTATTCAGCGTCGACGACTATGTGCGTACTATAGAATGTAAACTTCCCTTTCTTGTCGGCTTCACATATGTATGTAATATTTGCTGAGGTCTTAACACTTAATTGTCTTTTTGATAAGTTTGAAAATCCTCTGGTTAAAAAAAGCTTACGTATTCCTTTAGACCTTTAGTCTGTAAGTCTCATTATATTTGGAGTAATGCCAGGATAATGATCATAAACCGTGATACAAATGTTGGGTAAGGGAGATCGACATTTCTCCTAACACACCAGCCAGCTATCCAACGTAGTTGACATGATCCATCAACAACACTTGTCATTATTAATCAGTAATCAGGGATGTTAACTTATTTCAAGTATATGCACGAGAACTTACATCCATTGATCTTTTTTTTTACAGATGTTGAAGAGCAACTGAACAATTTTTCGAACAATGAAATCGATCATTTCAATGATAGTTTAGAAACTAGTTTTTCAATAAATGAACCCTCTAATGAATTATATTCACCTGTTAATACAATTTTACCTAATTTAAGTAAACAACAACAACAAGTTGATATAAATCTGGATTCTAATACAAATTTACGATTTGTTAAATATTTTGTTGGTGAAACTATTCGAATGCGTTGTATCATACCTGAAGGATCACATGTGGTAAGTCAATATGAATGTAAAATTCAATTATTTATACACATAATTACTAAACATTATTCGGTAACCTATGCTCCATTGGGAGTAACAGTTGTAAGTAAGTAAGTACTAAACATTATATAAGACAGTATTTTCAATTCAATGCTTATGTTAGAAAATGGTTTATTTGGCATTTAGTATACGTCTAATTATATCTTTGATCAACTTGACAATGAAGAGACAAACCATTAGGAAATTATACGAGTTTATAAAGGTTAAAAACAAGTTTTTTTTCTTATTGGCATCTTATAGTAAGTTTTTGTTCTATGAGATGAAATCGTCATCCTGTGCCTGACCCTGCTCAGATTTCCGCACTTGGCACCGACAGTTAAAGTAGAAGAGCATCAAACAAAGTTATAATTTCCAAGGCAGAGTATGTTGGAGAATCATGGTTTTATGAAAATTGTATATTATATTACATATGAGTTAATTTAATCAACTGTTCTGTTAGAAATAATTATATAAAACATTTGTGAGGTCATTTCTTCTCATTAAATTAGTACACTTATGGAAAATATTAGCTTTTGTTCATATTACAAATATATGAATTTAAAATGAAGTGAATGTATTATTTTTAAAATTCTTTATAACTTTAAAAAAAGAGTAAGAGTCCTATACTAAGATTAAACTGACGTCTAGTAACTTCAGGCTTACAATCACGTAACTCCTAGAGTTTTATGAGAAGCCATGACCAGTGGAGTTTAATCGATGTCAGATATGAGATAGTTATCCACCTCAAACAATGGATGGTTGTTTTATGTGATATCATAGATCGATTGAAGTTAGACATTAACACCGTTAGATAACTTAACGGTTTAAAGTTTAAGCGTTCTCATGTGTGACCGAAGGCTTTGAGTTAGAGTCTCACGTGAGGGATCATGGATGAGCACTGCTGAAGAGTTTCACATTAGGACGAAACGGACGTATAGTGTGATAATCTAACATGGATTGACTCATGAATGTAGCTTTGAAAATACTGTAGTCTTCATAAATCTCCATACACATTTAAAACAGAACCTGGGAAAACGGATTAGCAAATTCTTCTAAAAATTTTATCCAACAGTTAAAATAAGCGGTTTACAAGAATATGATTTATTAAGATATAAAGATAAAACTGATGACTATCAGTAGTTTATTAATTTTTAAAAGACAATGTAAAGCTGTTTACATCACATTGTCATTCATCAAAAAAGAACAACACAGAGGCGCCTACATTTGTTGAGTAAACCTTTAGAAAAGACCTATAAATGACGTTTGAATTTAAAAATTAATTACTATTATAACTAGTTGCCTGTGTGTCTTGTCAATGTATAACGTCATAATACCGCCAATTAGAGAACAGTGAACTATTGATCGAACCAATGACATACGAAATCCGTGTGAGTAGTCCAGAGTAAATATAGGTCCTGCTTTCTAACTAGCCCAACCAGTTAAGTTTAGAACACCAATCTTAGCCTTTACGGTATAAATCATTTATTTCAAACATACTGGGTTTATATATCAACCAGACAGATCACATCGTACCATAAAATAAGAAACAACATTTACACAAGATCAAGCCCAAAAGTGGCTGTGAACAAGGGATAAAGTAATTGATAGACTGGGTATAACTCAATAATGGTATACCGTATAATAATAGTTCGTAGTTCAAAACAAAGCTTATAATAGGAAGAATGCGAATATGAATGGTTTAGTTATTTAACAATTATACAATAATATATATACGCATGGTAATGGTCCATAAATGGATCCTTGAAGTTGCGATTCATTATTGTAATCGAGACATAACAATTATTTCATCTTAAAGAAGTGATTTTAATAGTTGAGATCATGAATTAATTGAATCTAGACCACCATGAAAAACTTAAAAGCACTGGACGGCCATTTCGTCCTAATATGAATGAATGCGTCTCTCAATTTCGGGGATTGGTTGATGTTACACATTAACAAAGTTAGATGCCATCCGGCTCAGTCGTCTAGAGGTTAAGCGCTCTTGGGTTGAAATCCCGCAAGACAGAATCATGGATGCGCACTACTGAGGAGTCTCACAACAGAAAGAAATAACCGTCCAATGCTTCCATGTTTTTCATGATGGTCTAGCTTCAATTGACTCATGATCTTTACTATATAAAATGTTCATTATCTTTTTTCTTGTTAATTATTATTCTTAGATAATATGGAATAAAATTGGTGAAGAATATCCCCTTACAATAGGTAATCATAGATTTATACCAGATAAACGTATTAGTATTAAACAAAAATCATCAAATAAATGGATATTACGCATAATTAAAGCTAAATTAACTGATAGTGGTTTATATACATGTACTACAAAATCTATACATAATGAATATAATATAAATGATCATTCTAATCAAACAAATAGAAATAGAACACTACCTATTATACAAAAGAATAATCCTGATTATTATATATCTGTAGGTAAGTAAATTTTATAGTATATTGTTCTTAAACATATTTAATATACTACTTTTTAACATTATATAAGTAGACAGTTTTAATAAAATATTTTAAATTTGATAAGTTAAAGTAATTGTCATTTATAAGTAGGGATACATGATGAATAACAGTGGGATTCAAGACGTATGTATTACCTTCTAATTAGGTACTTATCTATTAGATGTATCTACATCCCGAAAGTGTATGTTTACTCTAGGAATTGAACCTGGTAAAGTTCGTTTCAAATACTATTGCATTGGTATTGAGTTAAAATATATACACAATGAGGTGAAGTTTAATTCAGTTTTGTATGTGTTATTTGAACCTTTCCATTGATGAATAGGACTTTAACTGATCAGTCTCTTATTGGCTTGTATACATCCTGTAAGGATTGCCGTCATAATGCGTTAAGTTATATGAATTATAAACAGTTTTATTAAACTGTCATATATATTATGATAGGGTACTTGTTATATCGTTTGAGTTGCGTGAGTGTGTTGCGTTCTTGCCCAGTTGATATATATGAACGTGATAAGACCGCTTATCAGTGAGCAGTGATTTTAATGATCGCCCAACAATATTCAAAACTGTATGAGCAGTCTTGAGTACTTATCAGTCCTGCTATCTGCCTAGCCCAGACAGTTAAGTCCAGAATACCAGTAACAGCCTCAACAATATGAATCATTATTCTCAAACATACTGGGTTTCTATACCAAACAAACTAACCACATCGTACCATAAAATAGAAAATAACATTTGTACAATATTTGACCAAATGTGGCTGTGAATAGGGAGGAGAGTAATTAATGGACTAGCGATAATTCAAGAATGGTAAATCGTACAGTGATAGTTCATAGGTCAAAATAAAGCTTATAATAAGAGGAATACGAATAAGAATAGTTTCGTTACTTAACAATTATACAATAGGAAATATACATATCACATTGGTCCATAAATAGTCCTCAAAGTTACCATTCATAATTCTCCACAGAATACAACAGTACTGATATGAGTTCAGATATATTGTGTCTTTTAACTAACCTTCTATTTTTGTATAACATTTTATCATAATATAATCTAGAAAAAAAAGTCAATTTTCATTGGTGTGCTAAATGTGTAACAATTTTTCCAGGTTTAAATTTACTCTTCCCTCTAGTTTGTTAATACCTCCAAATTCAACATCAGGTATGAATTTACTTTCATTATTGAGGATGGATAACATCTTACCTTTATATTCACATTTGTTCATGAAAACCACACAAGTTCCTTTATCCGGCTTCAACAAGACAATATTAGGGTTTGTTCGTAGTTCTTTTAATGATTTAAAATGTTGAGAAGTGAATGTGCTTCATAAATGTTGGATCAATTTTCATGATTCAAAACAATGTTTGAATGAAATTCCTTATGGTATTTACCCTAACACTTTCCAAATAATAATTTACCACGATGATAATTCTACTTCGTATTTGTATATAGTAATAAAACCTACAAAACTGGTCGATATTTGAGGAATTCGTTTTACTGTGTTAGTTAATACATTACACTGTTGCTGAGCTATACTTTTATAAGGAATCTATTAGCACTGAAGGAATTAGACAAATTTTTGTCGATGCTCAGTGATTAACCAACTATGAACATCTCAGTTCGGTAAGAGGTTAATTTCAGCTCAAAGTCCCAGAATGTGAGACTGAGTGCTCCTATTTTCGACCCTACAGAGAGAGAGACATTTCTTCGAAAACCTCCAGGTTCGCTTAGCTAACAAGTGCGGAGAAGCTTTAAGTGTCAGTCTAGGGTTTTTTATCGACTACCTACGACTACATAAAATCTTTTAGACTATCGGACATGAAAAACAATAAACCTCATAAATAGTGATCAAATAAACGTGTAAAAAACCTGTAAAAACTATATATTTAAAAGATGTGTCTTTAAGTCTACTTATTCTTGAATTTCTATTCGTCTACTGTTGAAGATCAGACACCAACCGTAATATATTTTTGTCCTCATAACACTGCAATAACTATTTCAATTATCTGATATTTGTATGTCAAATCGAAAACGCAAATGTTTTTTCATGGAACTGTAGTGTCAATTTCAACGTTAAGCCCACATAGCTTATTCTAGCTTCCGGACAGGCCATTTTATTCATCCTTCTTGAGTCGCTTTTTGATCTTGTTAATTATTCACTTATTAACCTTGACTGTTTTTATATGAACATATATGTGTATACTTTTTGTCCTATTCATCAAATGTCTGTAACTTATTTTCGTTTGGCTATAAATATTGACTAACGCTTGACTAAATCGAGTTGGCTCACATGCCTTCTCGACTGAGCGTCACTTCGTTTCGCTTCTCTCTCTCTGCTTCGCTTCCTTCGCTACGTCTCCCAGATTTTTTGGTTCAATCAACGAACTCCATTCTCTCATTCGACTTATTTAATTGCGTTATTCACCAACGCCATTTACGTCGATGATTATATACGACAGTGTCCAGGATGTATATTTCGACAGTAATCATTGGATAACGATCATTCGTTCGATCTAACAGTAGTTAGATCACAGGCCACTAAAGAACAGATATAAGGTACCTAGCAGTCTAACACAAGATTTTAACTGGATTTTGTTCTATCTCAGCTGGCATATATGTACCTGTGCTGATTGACTTCACCTAACCATTATGATACAGTTTTATATAAATCTTCGAGATTTATTTAAGTATCAAGCTATTCCAGTCATACATTACATAATCATTATGCTAATGATTACAAATGATTCTAAACTTACTTTATTTAATGTCATACTTACTTACTTACTCACTCCTGTTACTCCCAATGGAGCATAGGCCGCCGACCAGAATTCGCCAACCCCTCTGTCCTGGGCTTCCTTTTCTAGTTCTATCCAACCTATGTTCATTCTTGTCATGTCTGTCTCTATTTCTCGGCGTAATGTGTTCTTTGGTCTCCCTCTTCTCCTTTGACCTTCAGGATTCCATGTGAGGGCTTGTCATGTGACACAATTGGGTGAGTTCTTCAAAGTGTGCTCAATCCACTTCCAGCGATTCCTCCTGATCTCTTCCTCTGCTGGATTCTGGTTTATTCTCTCCGACAGTAGCGCGTTGCTGATTGTGTCTGGCCATCGGATCCGAAGTATCTTGCGTAGACAGCTGTTAATAAACACTTGTATCTTCTGGATAATGGCTTTCGTAGTTCTCCACGTCTCCGCCCCATACAGAAGAACTGTCTTGACATTTGTATTGAAAATTCTAACCTTGGTGTTGGTTGACAATTGTTTTGAGCTTCAGATGTTTTTCAGTTGTAAATATACTGCTCTTGCTTTGCCGATCCTCGCCCTCACATCTGTATCTGATCCACCGTGTTCATCAATGATGCTGACCAGATATGTAAAGGTTTCCACATCCTCCAAAGCTTCTCCATCAAGTGTAATTTGATTGGTGCATATTGTATTGTATCAGAGAGTATTGCTTTTCCCTTTGTGTATATTGAGACGTACTGATGCTGAGGCTGCTGCTACACTGGCCGTCTTCTCCTGCATTTGTTGTTGAGTGTGTGACATAAGAGCCAGATCATCTGTGAAGTCTAAATCGACATGTTAGTTCCATAATTCTGTTATTTTAATTCAATAGGCAAAAATTAGTTTTACACAAAGTAATCACAACTAATATTTCAATCTGTAAAAGGTGTAGGGATCGTTTAATAGTTTATAATGATTATCGTATTTTGTCTTGTTGAAAAGAGTATAAAAATAAGGTGATATGTTAAAATGCACTTCATAGGAACTACACTAAAGACTGAATTATTAAATCTTAAACACAAACATCGTCAAGCTGCATCCTGCCTGTCCACTGTATTCCGTGCTTTCCTCCAGATGTTGACGTCTTCATGATCCAGTCGATCACCAGGAGAAAGAGAAAAGGTGAGAGTAAGCAACCTCGCCTAACACCGGTCTTTACCTCGAATGAATCGGTGAGTTGTCCTCTGTGGACGATTTGGCAGTTAAGTCCATCATAGGAGTTCCGTATGATATTGACTATCTTCTCAGGCACGCCGTGGTGTCGTCCTGTCCACACCTTCAAATGCCTTCTCGTAGTCGATGAAGTTGATGTAGAGTGATGAATTCCATTCGATTGATTGTTCCACAATGGTACGTAGAGTTGCGATTTGATCTGTGCACGATCTATCCTTACGAAATCCAGCTTATTGATCTCGAATTTGGGCGTCCACGGAATCCTTCAACCTGTTTAACAATACTCGGTTGAAGACTTTTCCTGGTATTGAGAGAAGAGTGATGCCCCTGTAGTTGTCGCACTTGCTGAGATCGCCTTTCTTTGGTATCTTGATCAGAAGTCCTTTTTCCAGTCTATTGGTACTTGTTCTTCATCCCAAATCTTACTAAAGAGTATGTGTAGTATCTTGGCAGTTGCTGTTACATTTGCTTTCAGTGCCTCTGCCGGGATGTTGTCTGGTCCCGCTGCTTTGCCACTCTTGACTTGTCTGATGGCCATGCTGCGAACCTGTCTAGCTTCAATTGACCGACGCTTTCAACTATGAAAAATACTAAATCTCCACAAAAACCCCTTCTGATAATAATAATGTTTCTTATTAATTGTATTATTATGAAATATATATATATATATCAATATAATTTCTTTTTTAACTATTTCAAAGTGGAACCACAATTAAAAGGAGAGAAACAAGCAAATATTACTGTTGTCTCTGATAATTTTATTCTTAAAAATAGAAGTAAGTTGACTCCAATCTTATAACATGAAATTTATTATTTTATATATACTCATAATTGTTCTAATCAAAATGTTATATGATTAAAGTCAAGTTAGATAAAATGATTAAATAGTTTAATTTACGCTTTATTATTGTGGGTTGGTTGGAGTTAGATATTAACATCATTGTATGCCGGCAGGTTCAGTGGTCAACAGTTTAAGCACTTGCACGCGAGGCCGGTAAGTCTTGGATTCTAATCCTGAAAGCAGGATCATGGATACGCACTGTCGCGGGATCCCATACTATGGACGAAACGACTGTACAGTGCTTTCAAGTTTTCCATTGTTGTCTAGCTTCAATTGACTATTAAAATACTATAGTATCCACAAAACCTTTTTCTGATAGTAGAGAATTTAGTAGTTTCTTTGGTAGAAATGTGCCGGACCAAAACGTATATTAACTTAAAAATAGCAATAAAGTTATTACGTACATATGTTATTATAGTAGTATACAATTTTTTAGTTTTGAACACAAATAAAAGTTAAGAGACGCAACTTAAATCAGCTGACTGATGGGTGTTCTGTTGTGTTTGGTACCAGAATCCACAAATATAGATAATTAATAACTCCAGTGAGCTTGATTTAGCTCCAGTAATATAGCCAAAAGTAGAATATAATGGAAATGTTACTACAGTCTATAAATGTAGATGATAGTTATTTTATAGTTCAATTATCATAATCACATGCAATGAAGGACGAGAATTGTGTATAAAACGGAGTATTTATGAGCTGTTAACGGTGTCATGATATGTGGGATTCGAAAAACGAAAGAAAAGTGTGTTCAAGGCCAATCACTTAAACAACATGTACAAATTGTGAAAATTGACAAAGTAAATCCAAATAATATCAAAACCTATTTACAAAATAATTTTGAAAAGCTTATCTCCCCTGAAAGCTTACTAATAGATAAATGAATGTTAATGAAGTAAGGAACGATTCCTTACCTATCAGTGGTGTCTTTCAGCACTAAGCTTTGATGACTTATAGGATGTGATCTCATGTCAAAGAATATATTCAATCTAGAAAAAGCTTTTGGATTCTTTGGTTTTCATGAAAAAGGGTTGTTTTATGGAACAGAATATTGACTTTATCTTTGTATATAAAGAGAAACAATATACCAAATACAATTTTTGTGATCTCTTTTGTGTATTCATATCAGTTTAGATGATTACATTCCTGAAAGATAGTGAGAACATATATAAAAACGAAGAGAACGAAGTATAACTAATTGTGTAAAAACAAATTATTGAACACTTTCGTAGTGGATCCCGCTACTGATAAATGTCGAATTATTAAGTCACAGTTAATATCTGTTATTAGCTTGAATTCAAACTCAAAAACGCGTTCAATAATATTAAGGGTATCAGTAGCTTGTACCCTTTGGAGTTATATGTATTGCGACTATATTTATCAAGGTATATAGTTTTTGGAAATATAATCGTTCAAATCTGATATTTGTAGTTAAACATCATTGTGTTAAAGATAATGGCGGTCATAATTGACGATTTATTATATCTGTACACTTACTTATGTTAATCGCAATTCTATCCATTAATATATTCACCATTGATGTAAAATGTATTTTATACTGTCATATATATTTTGTTTTACTCAGCACTTACTGTCACTGGACCACGTATAGTTTACTATGGTAGTCCATTGGAATTAAAATGTTATGCAAAATTTTCTACTGATGTACAATCATCCGGTTACGAAATACTATTAGAATGGTATCATCATGGTATTCGAAAATCTTCAGATCCATTTCAATCTGGTAGTGTGTATATAGAACAAAAATGGTTAGATCCAAAAACACTTGAAAGTCGTTTATTTATAAAATGGGCAAGTGAATCAGATACTGGACAGTGGATATGTTTAGAACGGTATAAACCAAGTGAAAATAATACTGAACATGATTTTCCACAGGTGATTCATTTAAGTCCAATACATAAAAGTTTATTATCAACGGAAAGAATTCAAAATAATCGTTTACCGATTTCATCTATTTCAAAGAATCGGCCTTTATCTTTAACATCTCCGTTGATACCTACTTCAAGAATAATGTTCGGGAGAATAGAAGTAGAAATTATTGGTATGTTTGTTAATAATTAAGTCTTTTGGTATTTGATACACAATATACGTGTTAATTGATGTGAAAAAATATTAGATTCAAACAAGATTTCACGCTTTATTATGTTTATTACAAATTATTGAATGGAAATGTAATAGGCGACAAACTTGAACCTAACGTGATTCACATTACTGCACAGTATTCGTCCGTTACAATCGATAATTACAGTTTCGTTCCCAAAAATGATTGATTTCTTCGTCGACTTCTCAAGAGCATGTCGAAAGATTATCGTGTATTTAGTGGCAAAAGAGTAAGGATACGAGTTCTACAGAGAACGTTTAGTTCCATGATCACCTGAAATACCAGACTAACGTGTAAACTTGTGAATAAATTTTGAATACCTTGCCAATGGTAGATTTATCAATAATCCATACACACCATTGTTATTGAAGCCATTGAAAAATACAGCTAGTAGTACACATCTGTTGTTTTTCCTAAAGACCACAGTTGACTACTTGTTGTGATACAAAGCAGTTTCCCATAGTAATATGTATTACAAAATATATGTTGTACCGGAATTACTCAAAGAATTATAACTCAATCTGTGTTTTCACTAAATGTCTACGTAGGGCATAAGAATAAATGTCTGACAAAACAACAACTAGAGAATTGTTGTCGCAGAGAACATTACAACTATTGTCAAACATATATAACTTGGGCAGTGACAGGAAAGATCCAAGTAAGAACATATAGACATTAAATAGGGATTTAGCTGACACCCAAAATAGGTCAAAATCAATGTCCAAGTGCACTAAGTTTACACAAAATAATACTCCTATTTATATTAATTGAACTATGTAGTAATTCATAATATTCTGATAATAATCATATGCTTAATAGTGACTGGCTCCAAGAGGTATTTCCTGGAGTTCTTGTGAGAAGCAGTGACCAGTCGAGTTTAAACGTGTCTGTTGTGTGATAGTAACTCACTGAAGACAGTTATGCACAATGCCTCAATTTCGTGAATTAGTTTAACTTAAACTATAAAACCGTTGGATTCCGATCGACTCAGTGGTTTAGTGGTTAAGAGCTCTGGCGCGAAACTTGTAGGTAATGGGTTCAAATCTCCCGAGGTGGGATCGTGGATGCGCACTGCTGAAGAGTCCAACAATGGGATGAAACGGCCATCCAGTGCATCCAGGGTTTTCCACGGTGGTCTAGCTTTAATTGACTAATGGTTTTAACTATATAATGCATATTGATTAATGAATTATTTACTAAGAAATCATTATTATTCATATTAACCACCCATAACCATATCTAAATGATTACTCCTTATGATGTGGTTAAATCTCAGAAATTATCAGGGAAAAAAGTCAAAATTGGCTTTCAACATGCACACTATAATCAATTTAAATCGTTCTTCATCATATCACTTTCCAATTTAGATTTTAAGCATTGAATCGTTTACCAAGCTGTTTAGAATAACTAGAAGTGATAAACAAACACACTATTTTAGGTATAATTTCCTAAAAACAATCTATAATTCCTTCTTGTTTCCGAATTCACTGTTTCTAACTCTTTATAATCAGAATTATGTCCGAAATAGATATTTTGTTGACTTTTTTAGTTTATTAGACATTAATACAATCAATTTTCACTACCTATCATAAGACTAAACCTCCTGTAGCTCTTCTTTTTTAATTACTGCCGAGCTGAAGCCCGGGTAAAAGTAAAGAAGTTTGAGCATACAGTTAACAACCTCATCCCAATAGAAAACAATTCTTTTTTCTAAAATAAACTCCAACCAGAATAATTAAACATAATACACAATGAATTTGTTTACATGTCATGTCATATCACATGTAACAATTTGACCCCGTTTCGCTAATATATTATTCGTCATGTTATATCTATCAATTCATTTTTTTTTAATGTTACCCCTCCCCCTCTATCAATATTGTTTCCTTTGATGATTTTATCCCATTTTATCCTTACTCTTTTATAGATATATCAAAAAATCCAAGTTATATATATAGTAATACTGATTCCAATTCTAAATTCCCAATTCAATCTACAGTCAAAAATTTTGCTTATTTATATAAAACAAAATGGTTTTTTGTAAACTTTTATTTATCAATAATCATTTTGAAATATTTTTTATAAAAATAAATATATGCTGATTTAATAAAGATTTAAGTAATATCTTACATGATTTATTCACCTGGTATTGTTTTTTTTAAATGTTCCGATTGATGTGTTAGGACTGCAACTGGTCAGTCTCTTATTGGTATATGTGCATACTGTGCGAATTGCCTCGATACCGCCTTAGGTGCATTCATGTACATCCAGTTAAAAAATACCAAAATAAGACGAAGCACGCATACTGGATTTCAATGCCAGTTAACATCCATAACTGTTAATAATAAATTCTAATCTTCGTTATTTTTTAATGATTGTGTCAGTTCTATATTGACACATTATCAATCAGAACAATGACTTATACGACGTTGGACCTGTGCCAAATCAATAATGTGTTAACCAGCACGAGAAGCCTAGAGTCATCTCTTAGTCCGTATTGATTCTTCTTGCCTAACCCTACCCATTTTTGCTCAGAACGCATTCATAGGTTCCATTGTTTGAATCACGTGTTTCAGGCATACTCAGTTTATATACAAGCAAATAAGAGAGCATCATTCCATAAAATAGAAAATCACATTTATACAAGATCAGGCCAAAAGTGGCTTTGAGTTTAAGAGATTATAACTAATAGATTTGGAATAATTTAAGAATAATAAATCGTATAATAGTAGCCAATAGGTCAAATGGAAGCTCATAAGAAAAAATGTAAACATATATAATCTAGTTACCTAATAGTTATAGTGGTCACCAGTAAGCTAATGATAGTTATCAGTATAGGTTTGTGGAGATCGTTGAGTTTTAATTGAGATCATGAACCGTTCGATGTTAAATCACCATTGAAAACCTGGAAGCACTAGATGGTCGTCTTGTCTTAGTATGGGACACCTGAGCAGTGCGAATCCACAATCCCGTACACAGGACTCGAACACAGGACCTTTTGTCTGGCACGCAAATCTACAAATCCCTATATTGATTAGTATTTAGTTGTGGAAACTGTTGATTTGGGTCCAATGCTAAGACAAAACAGCCATTCAGTGCTCCAAGGTTTTCAATGATGCGCTAACATTGATCAAGTCATGATCTCATTTAAGATAAAGAATGATTTATAACATTCTCACCATATTCAAACTATTTTTCTTAGTTGTTGCAAAATGAAAAACAACTGTTTTTAGAATGTACAGTTTTTTTCTAACTTGGAAACTAGTTCCAGAGTTTGTGAAGACAAGATAATGTTTACATAATTATTTCTTCTACATTATGCATTGTTAAATTATATAAACTCGATATATATATACATGTACAAAGCATAGAGTGAAATGTTTTTCATTTAAATTCTTTAATTATGAAAAATACTAGACTGTGATTATGTAATCAAACAAAAAAATATTGCCAGAAGGGAAGTTTTGTAGAGATTTTAGTAATTTCTTAGTTAAAATCATGACCGAATTGAAGTTAGACCACCATGAAAAACCTGAAAGCACTGGACGGCCGTTTCGTCTTATTATGGCACTCCTCAGACGTGCTCATCCATGATCTCGCTTCGCGAAACTGATAGGTCCTGGGTTCGAATTTCGCGAGAGGTGATCGCCGACGAGCAGTTCAAAGGAGTCCCATAGTAAGACGAAACGATCATTCAGTGCTTCCACGTTTTCCATGGTGGTCTGTCTTAAATTGACTCATGAATTCAACTATTAAATAAATAAATGTTTAATAAAAAATTATTTCAAGATGGAAAATACACAAAACAATTAAAAAAGAAATTATATTATCATAGAAATTTATTGGATTTGTTAAGAATTTATTCATTAACATATATGTTAATAGATCAGATGAATTCAAGTCAAAATAGTATGATTATGGATTTATAATCCAAATGATAGTGTTAACTGACGAGTTATGAATGTTAGAGTATAATAGTTAGGAGTACATCAAATGACTGAAATATAATATTTGAGGCATATTTCAATAAAGTAATTGAATTTATTAGGATACTAGGTTTGTAGAGACGGTTAATTATCATGCTAAATTGATATCAATCAAAGAAGTAATAAAAAGTATGGAAACCTGGTTTCATGAGGTATTTCCTGGAGTTCTAGTGAGAAGCAGTGACCTGTGGAGTTTGTCCATGTCTGTTGTGAGATAGGAGCTCACTGAAGACGATATTGGACGGTGACGTGATTTTCTGGATTGGTTGTAGTTAGACATTAGCACCGTTGAATACTGTCCGGCTCAGTGGTCTAGAGATTAAGTGTTCGCGTGTGAAACTCACAGGTCTTTGGTTTGAATCCAACATGTGCGATCGTGGATGCGCACTGTTGAGGAGTTCTATACTGGGACGAAATGGCCGTCCAGTGCTTCCAGGTGTCTAAATTTAATTGACTCATGAGTTGAACTACTAAATTACTATAATATCCACAGAACCCCTTTCTGATGATATTAATTTATGTGTTTAGTAATGTAAACTAGTTTTAAAAACATCAATCTGCATAAATTCATTATTATAATATGTTAATAGTATTTGTGTGACTAGTTTTAAGATACATTTCTGATATTCCTTTAAGGAGATATAATCGAATAATTTCAAACATGTTAGGAGGAAATCACATATGAATAAAGTCATTAAACATTGACATAAAATATGTCACGAACTGACTGAATTTAATTATGTCAACAAATATGTTCCGGATCACTAAACTAACCTCGATTGAATAAATTAATTATTATTCATAGTCAGATCTCGTAAATGTTTAAACTTCATGAGTTCAGACAGTTGAGGTTTCAGTAATTCACTTCTTTACAAAACCAACAATTTTAAAATAATATCTAACATGAATTAATAACAATTCATGGTGAGTCGATAATTTATGAATGACCTTTAAACGACTCTAAAGGGACCTTGAGAATGTCAACCTAACTACTAGTGTTAAATGAGGGTTATAAAATAGTGTAAGGAATTGGAATTATGATTTACAGTTGATAGTTAACGTTAGGAATTAGATTTAGAGTTTTCATCACGAATTGATGTCAGCTATAATGCCAAAACGCTATTTAGCCAATAGGATGAGTGAATTTCGCGCGAAAATCCGAAACCGGTTATCTTATACCTGATTGGCTCGTCTATAAATTATAGTCCTACCACAATTCACTAGAAACACATTATCAGTTAATCTTTTAAAATTCACCTGTTTATCGATAATAATACTTCACGAATTTACCACTAATTTAAGAGATTTGTGATTGTATAACCTTTTACTTTACATTTCGCACTTACCAAGGTCAGACGATCAATAAAAACCAGGAAGCATTGAACAGCTGACTTATTCTAATATTGTAATAATATTTGTTAGGCAGTCGCCCATCAATGCCATCGGACGTTGTTTGCGTAACATTATGAGTAGGCAAGTAAATCAATGGATACCAGATTAGTGGCCTAAAATTTAGGCTTACATGGAGATCATACATACACAATATCATGGGGTCTATTACTAAAGTGATATAGCTGTTCACTGCTTCTAGTTTTTTTCAATGATTGTCTATCTAAGATTGATTGGTGATGCAAATCGTGAAATTATTTCTTAGTATATATTTTGAATCGAAAGATCAAACGATAGTTTTAATTGGAAAGTTATGATATCATTTATTATATGATAGTCTGAACACTAGGTCATTATTTAAGGAGACAGATAATTAGCATACAGAACGAGTTGAATTGACACAATAAGATAAATCAATGTTGATCAGGTCACTTCAGTTACTGCCATTTACTGCTTTCTCTCGTGAAGAAGCAAAGATCGCTCATCAGCAATATCCATCCAAACCTGTCCTGGAAAATCCTTTCTACTTGTTTCCAGTTACTATTCATCCTTTTCATGTCTGTTTCCCACTCCGACGCCGTGTATTTTTTGGCTTTCCTCTTTTCCGTTTCTCTTCTGGATTACAAGTAAGCTCTCGCTTCGTGACATAGTTTGATGATTTCCCCAATACGTGTCCTATCCATTTACAACGTCTTTTCCTAAATTTCTCTTAAGATGGAAGCTGGTTTGTTCTCCACCACAGTAGGCTGTTGCTGATGACATCCGGTTAACGGACATTGAGTATCTTACGTAAACAATTGTTCATAAATTGCTGTACACATTTGATGTCGGTCGTGGTGGTTCTCGAAGTTTCAGCTCCATACAGTGAAACTAACTGACTTGACATTCCGATTGCAGATTCTCACTTTGATATTGGTTGATAGTTGTTTTGAGTTCCATATGTTCTTCAATTGTCGGAATGCGGTCCATGCCTTGCTAATTCTCATATTTGCATCTGCATCAGATCCACCACGTTTATCGATGATGCTTCTCAGGTAAGTGAATGTTTTCAGAGTTTCTCCATCAAGTGTGATTGGTTTGGTGTTCTCCGTGTTGTATTTCAAAATCTTACTTCTTCCTTTGTGTATGTTGAGGACTAGTGGTGAAGAGACTACTGCTATATTATTTTTCTTTATCTATATTTGTTTGTCTGTATCGGATAAGAGGGTTAGGTCATCTGAGAAGTCCGAATCGTCTAATTGATTCTGAGCTGTCCATTGTATTCCATGTTTCCCCTCGAGGTCTTCATAATCCAGAAGAAAGAGTAAGTGGAAGGGTAGACAGCCTTGTTTGACTACGGTCCTTAATGTAAATGCATACTACCATTTAGAAACCCCCAAAAAGTTTATCAATATCAATGTGTAGCGATATTCAGGACTCAACTATGACTGAACACAAAAGACTCATTTTTCTAAATTAACTACATTTTAAACTATAAAAAAAAGTTTCTCTGATTATTATATTCATATCAACAATGAAAATCAATATGAAGAAAGAATATCTTTAGAGTATATGGGTTAGTTAAATTCTCTAATTATAAATTCAACGAAAAATTGATCATTAAATAGTCAAGTTTCAAATTCAATCTAAAGTTTATTTTCAAATTTATTTGATGAAGTTATGGAACTCTATTTTATAATTGAGATCTTGAAGCAATCAATGTTTGACCACCATTGAAAACTTGAAACCAAGGGATGGCTTATTTGTCCTAGCATGAATATCTACGATCTTGCATGTACTG